GTGGGAGTTTCAGGTTGGTTGGCACTGCCATCGTTCATATCAAAGTCATTTTGCAGTTCAAGCTGAGATATGGTCTAGATTTAGAGGAAATACAGAAGTGTGTACAGAAAAGGGCACAGGTTGTATTTTCAGAAGATCTTTGTAATCTTTGTTAACAGCAAAGATATGAAATATAAAAAGGTTTTGTGTGAGTTTCTGGCTATGACGTGTGTGTCACATGTCATGTATTCCCCCACCTGAACTTTCATGGTAACCAAAGAGCTGGGCTTCCTCCTCCTTGTCCCCCTGTCTTTCTTCTCTTCTTTTGCTTTTTCCTTCTGTTCTTTCTCTAAAAACTTCTTCCTTGCCAGAATAAGTTTGCCAGGGTCCAGCCCAGTCTAGACACAAACATGCCTGTGTAAACACTCACACACCGCATGAACACACCTCATTCAAACCTGGGTAACCGTGAGTGACAGATAAAGAGGTCATTTATTCACTATACCTTTTTGATGACCCTCTGGCGAAATATTTCAGCATTTGCAAAATAGAGTGGCGAACAATAGTTCACAATTTTCACACCTGTTATTGACACGACCTGTGGAGTTATTACAAAAGAAAATAACAGTTGTGGGTCCACTTCCGTAATGTGTAATGACAAAAATACACAAAAATATTTAGTTTTCATACCTTAGTGTACACCTTCGGGTTTTTGTAGATATCTGTATCCACAATCTGGACCACTGCTGAACCATTACGACTTCGAGGAACACATTGTTAAAAGGAGTAATCCATTAATATACACTTTACATTGCTGCATTGTCCTTTTTTAAACTTCTGGTACAAATTTGGCACTTATTACATGGAGTTTACTTACAACTGTGTCTTGAATATCACTACCAGGATGGAAAAGCCCACTCCGATAGCGACTCCATAAGGCAAGCTAAGAAAGAATGTGGCCAAGAATGACACAACCCACACACACTGGAAGAGAAAGAACAATGGAATAAGTAAAAAAAAAAAAAAAAAAAACATACTGAAAAAATATAACATATTGTGCTGCAATATTGCATCCAAGGCATGACTTTGACTTACACAGTCTAATTTGCTCTTCTTCCATAAGTAATAGGGATCAGAGAGCTGTAGGAGCGTGTTCTTCAGGTTGACTGCAATTAAGGCTCCCAGCACTGACTGGGAAATGAAACATAACATAAATTAGAAATCATGCCAAGACCTTTCGCTTACCTCTATTTAAATGTTTTGTAAAATTTTTCAAGATGCTGGAATCATACTCTTACGTCCACCTACTTTTGGAAGTGGTTTCAGGAAGGCTGCCAATGCGAGCATAGTAACCATTACGACCAGCATCACACAGAGACTGGCAAACTATGAGAGGGCACAGGTGCGGTAGTTAGCAATTATTTTCTTGTAGTCCATGCTATTTCTCTTCGTTAAATTATATGCAAGAGTAAATACAGTTACAACACAGCGTTCACCTGTGATGTTCCCCCAGCACTGTCTACAGCCAGGGTGACAGACAGGGCACAGCAGATCACATGGATCTTAAAGAAGGAACCGAGGAAATTGCTGCAGCCAAGAGCCAGCATTTCCTGTACAGGAGCAAACAGGCAGTGTTTACAAAATGGAATAAAATACTAATTTTGAAATAGTAAAAGAGATGCTGATTTTCTACCTGGTTGGGATCCACATCGTAGCCGTGCTTGGCTGCAAGCGTCCTGCCCATAGCCAAGTTGATGACATACCCGACTATTGCCAGGGAGAAGGCTGTGCTCAACATGTCTTCCCACTGACTCACTGTTGGCAGGATTGGTGCTGGGAATCTGGAAAAATAGAGACAAGAAAAACACATCTAAATTGCATAGTAAAAAAAAATGAGTCGCATGATTTTAATGAATGAAGCAGCCATTCATAATCAGAATGCTGATTTTTTTTTACCCCAAAGGGATTTCTCCCACTATGTCCATGTGATAGATCTCAGGAAGGTGCAGAGGGCCTGAGATGGCCGTTGCCACCACCACCTGTGTAGAGCAGGAATAGGGGGGCAATCACCACCATCACCTTTATACTGCTACATCAGAGAGTGCGTCCTTTGATGAGTGATAAACTATAAAACTACTTACAATAATGATCTCCATAGGAAGGGGGAAGGGCAGTTTGTGGCGGTAGCGTGCACTCAGCTCCTTCGCGACAATCAGAACTATGCTGCTGACCAGAGCAAATACTAATGACGCTATGTTGGTGTGAGGAAGGCCAGATATAATATCTATAAGAGTCTGTGACAACGAATAAAAAATGACTTATTTTGTTGGCAAATCAACTACCACAGCATTTTAGTGTTCTTTAATCACTGTATGAAAACAGACACTTACATATATAACAGCCAGCGGGCCACTGTAAGGTGGCACCTTGATGCCAAAGATGTACTTGAGCACCGAGATGAGGATCTGCAATCCTGCAGCAGTCATGAAGCCTCTGATGAAGGACTCCGACAGATAGATGGCAACAAACCCAAACTGCATGAGGCCGAGGCCGATCTGCACGGACATACAGACGGTAGTTTTCAATGTGTCACTTGTTGATTAAACTGTGCCTCTCATTTCTTTCATTTCTTCATAATATCACTTTAAAATGCTGAGCTTTTAGTGTTATAAGTACCTGTATGATGGCAGTGAGGCACGCCAGGGTTCCAGATATTCCAAGGCGAACCTCGTCCATCCTCTCTGTGTCCACTATCGTAGCATTAAGAGTGGCATTGAAATGACTGAAGTCCGACTCTGGGGCCAGCCGAAGACATACGATTCCCACCATAATGCTGAGGACAGCGAAAGTGCCTGGACATAGAGAGTAGTGTGTCACCTCTTTTTTCTTTGGCATACTGCAAACTGGGCAGAGGCGGGCTGAGCGCAGCGGATCTGCATTGTGCAGTTCTGGCAACTTATCACTGTCATCCTATGAAATCGCAGCAGATAAATCACTCTGATTTACCTGGAACCATCTGGTGAGCGGTGCCCATGAAGAAATACGGGATTAGGGGGAAGAAAGAGGAATAGAGACCGTTGACAGGAGGGAGATTTGCCAGGAGGGCAAACGCCATGCCTGGAAAAGACCAGAAACCTTTTTAGATCTGTCAAATAGTCATGATCAAATATAGAAAATTACAAAAAAAACATGTTACGTACTGGAGCCAATGCCGCAGCAGCTAGTTTCACTCAGTAGTTATTACACAGAAGGATCAGAGACAGGAGAGGACTGACTGACCTTGAGGAACCTGAATGGTACCGGCGCTGACCCCGCTGATGACATCACACAGCAAGTTGTCTTTGGCTTTGTACTTGGGAAGCCAGCTCAGTACAGGCAGATGTCTGAGTAACAAGCCCTTCAGTCTCGGCAAAGAGCATCTGACAGAAACAAACGAGAGAAACTCTTTGAAAAGCTCAGATTTTCTTGTTGTTACTTTGGAAAAAGTACATAACACATGTCGAAACTTTGTATGGAGTCACAGCTACAGGGGTCTCCACTCTTTGATCACAACGCGGAGCTTGTCAGAGGTAGAGTTTGTGTGATAGAAAGATGTGTAGTTCATGTTGACTGTGCGGGGAGATTGTAATTCTGTACCTGAAGAGTTTCTTTACTTTCTCTCCAACAGGGAACTGTCTACTCTTCTTGTCAAACTCCCTATCGAAGTCTGGGAGGTTATATGCCGGCCTGTCAATCACATAACGTGGGTGGTCCTGCTGCATGGCTGAAGCAGAATGAAACATATTAAGGCCATAAAGAAAAAAACGCATCAACAAACAGTTGAAGTTAAGTCTTGTATTGAGTCTCATAAATTACATTTTACAAGCTAGAAATTAAGTCAAGGCAGCATCACTATCATGTTACTTTAACAATATAAAAATGTTAGTACGTTTGCATTTATTTTTCATCTTTAAAAAAATAAAATAAATTTTTTTTATTAAATTATAGCCCAAGTGATCTGAAAATCATATTTTTTTTAGTAATTTACTTCTCAATTCTTTCTTATTAATCTACAGGATTATAAATATGCTGTTTAACATTAGTGTTGCTGTTTTGACATATTTCAAGTGCAAAGACCCTAATCTAACCTTGACAGATGAAGCCAACGGCTGGTGCACTGCTAAAATATTTAATCAACACCAGGTAAATGATAGAGTGCACGCACACACACACAAACACACACACACACACACACACACACACACACACACAAGTTCCTCAGTAATCTTACAGTCTGCATGCAATTATTTTCTACATCAAGTCACACAGCATTTCATATTTTAGAACAAAAATCTATAATAATGATAAAACATGAGCACTTAAAAACATGGACATTTTAGACTTTAGAGTGAACAGATGGTCGACTGAGGAGATGATTAACTCTTTATAGAACATGGGGCTGTCCTCAGCATTGTGGTGGGAGCTAAAGCACAAAAGAAATAACTGGATATTAAGAGATTTAACTTCATCGTATGACAAAAGAACACCCGTTCACAACACAGTAGATTCTATTTTTTTAAATCACACAAAGGACATAAACTAGAAAACATCTGTTCTTCATAATCTGTGAATTAAAAATGTAATTCCTACAATCCCGCAATTATTTACTGATTGAAACAATCAAAATGCAAGTAGCAAGTAAGAGGCCAACACACCCATCCCAATGTCATTACTATCTGTTTAGAAGCAGTAACACAGAAAAAGTATGAAAACACAGCGCTGTACCTTATTGTTGAAGCACAAAGGCTGAAGGCTTTTGGCTCAGATGTGTGTATTACTCACTTGTTTGATTTCTTATCAAGTTTCAGCTTAAGACCCTCTGCACCGTGTGGGTGGAGCCTAAGAAACTGAAAGTCTCAAAAAGGACTCTTTGGCACCTGCAGTCGAACACAAACTGAATGATTTAAATTACTCATTTGTGAGACTGCTGCTGTGTAGTATAGAGCAAGAAGACAACATGATGTAATTAATAATAAATGCATCTTTAATGGTTTAATTCAGTTTCTATATACATGTAGCATTCTTACATTCATTCTCTCATCAACAAAAAAAAAATAATACAATTTGACATGTTGTATGGTAAAAGATAGACATGAGCTAAAGCTGCAACTAAACCACGTACAAAGCCCAGTTTAACTTGATTTACACAAATCAAACTAACCAACATAAACGATGCATATAAATAGTGTATTTCAACATTACAAAGGGTAAGACATGAATGACAGCATGTAAAACACGATTTTCTTTTTTCCCCATTGTAACAGGATTTGTGTGCAAAACAATGGCATCAATATCAAAGACTAAAGTGCAATTATTTATCAAATCTATGTGTGTTTCTCTCTAAAAGAGGAATGTGTGTGGACTGTAGACAGAAAAAGCGAGTCTCCCCCTGGTGGAACGAAAGATGAAAAGCACAAATTCCACAGGAATGCCTTTTCTTTGGGGCATGATACACAACTCCACCGTTCAGTTCCAATGAAAGGAAAAGCAGAGTCTGACCTGTTAAATAAAGAACATTTTCCTTGTTGGGATCGTACATCACTAGTAGCTTTAAAAATAGAATGCAACTATTGAAATCAGTGGTTGAATTAAAAAAAAAAAAAAAAAAAAAATCACTTTCTCAAATTGCTTCACTGATAATGAATGGAGCTAAAAGACTAACTCTGCTCTGCAAACACTAAGACAGTGGCAGATTTTACTATTCTGTAGTTCAGAACTGCAGCTATGAAAAAACTCATTTGGGTAAAATCAATCAAGCACTCCAACATAACACTGTCAGCCTAGTATCATCAGAGTGGTTTCAGGTAGGTGGTTTTAGTTTTGGTTCTGAGGACTTAAGCTTCATTTTCATTTGAACAACTAATGATTGGATTAAAACCTGTTATTGTGGGGATTTTCCTCTTCCATATTAGTATTTTTAAACATCCACTGGTGTGTCTCTTCATAAATAGCCTCAAGCAATTCACCCAAAAGCAGTTCCAGTTTTCAGAGCTTTAGACTTACGACTACAACAGGAATATAATAAGTAAGTCATTGAAAGTAGGAGAAGGTGTTACAATACAAATACAGGACTTGTTAAGCAAGCGCAACAAGTGCAACTTCATGTGGTAAAAGTCAGATGACTTTTTAATCTAGCCATGTCTGGGTTTCCTCCTCTTTGTTACAAAAGCTCTTTGACCAGCTCCTGCTGGCAGCCTAAAACCCCTCAAAGTCCGTCACAGTCTATAAAATGAGTACTGACTAGAAATCGCTGAGGATGCTGATATCTGCGAACTCCTGGCGGTATCTGTATGAGTACAAGGCCAAGAGGAAGGACCATTTGAGAGTCAGGAAGCTCCACACACAGGAGAGGTAGAGGCTCCTCGGGTCAGTAGGAGCTGTGGGACAGAAATAGCAAGGTGATGAATATGTTCATTAGGAAATCAATCCTCTGCTCTGACTCAAAAAGCATGCAAGCATAAATGCAATTAAGGCTTTATATTAATATTACACATTATCAACCAGGAACAATAGAAGGAGGGATTACATTGCTTCTGTGTGATGGCGATAGTGAGGAAGGTGATGAAGGCGGCCACTGCCAAAACTGAGAACAGCACACCGACAGCTATGAAGAACCTGAGCCCTTTGAGCCAGGTGCGCCAGTAATCCTGCAGGTACATGATGTGTGTGACGAGAGACCAGAGCGCCAGTACTCCTGTCAAAGAGACAAACAAAATGGGGTTGAAACTAACTAACTTTCATTACAATCTATCTGCTAATTATTTTCTCGGTTACGTGTGTAGTCTGTAAAATAGTGAAAATCCCAGTCACAATTGTTCCTAATTCCTAAGTCGCTTGTTTCTTTCCAAAACAACTTCACAAAACCTAAAAATATTCAGGTGACTCTGAGATAAGACAAAGAAACACAGAAACTGGGCTAAACTGAGAAGCTGGAAGTGGAATAGGTTTGGCATTTATGCTTGAAAAATGACTTCAAACATTAACTGATTATAAAAATTGTTGCCGATCATTTTATTCAGTCAGTCATAAATTAATCAGGTATATAACAACTAGACAAATAACTCATGTAAGATATTAGCTTATTGCAGATATGTAATAGTATTGGTTTATATGTTGGCCAATAACTGTCAAGACACTGCAGTACAGAAATGAAAAACTAGGGTTGAGGTTGTTTAATGTCTGCATTACTAAGTCACTGACAATTGATTTTTCAACTGTAAGATGTCTCTTGCTCAGTGCGTAACTTGATCTTACTTTATAAATAAATAAATCTATGGGATGTGTATTAAGACTGCCATTTAAGTTATGTGTTTATTCGTTTGTTTCAAATGTACTATCGTCCCTGATCAGATTTTTTTACACTACCAAATGTCGATATCAAGCTCAAAAATACAACATCGGTCGACATATAATACATATGTAGGTGTAAACACGATAAAACCGGGTGACTTTCTTTAAGGCAGTGAATGCCCAAAATGATGCTGAGGAGTTGGATACACTACAAATCTGGTCATGCGCACAAGTGTGACTAACATCAAGAGTATTTTGCCTGATAACACAGCAAAACATTTCACTGACAAACACTGACAAAAACATTGTTTGTGTTGTAAAGGTTTCAGTGACAAGAATGAGGCCAAACACACAATATGGGATTGTGGTGTTGTTTGATAGTGCAGGCCTGGGTTAGGATTAGCCAGGCTAATGCTCCACTATCAAGTGAAAAAGACGAAGCTACAAATCACACTAACATTCAATATTTACAATTCACGCTATAGAAGTGTTAACTTACCTGACAGGCCTCCCATGGCCGCCGTCCATGGCTGTTTATAGGCGATATTCCAGACCAAGAAAGCCGAAAGTCCAACCAGGGTACCAAAGGTAGCATAACCTATGCTAATGTAGATCCTGCTGATTCCCATAGTAAGGTATTAACACTGCTAGCTTGAAGTTTGTAACAGGCGCAAGCGACAAAGGCGTATTTTTAAAAACAGGTGTTAAGTTACATCAACAGCTTATCGCCACATTATGTAATATCCTCGATACTAACGACAGGAAAACGACAGATGAAATGCCCCCTCGGCTGAACAACCAGGAGAACGACGCCTGTCACTGTTAGCAAAACTAGCTGCAGCTGAGTATTCGCTAGTTCTTGTGACTTGTACAACAAACAAATGTCGATGGCACAATTTAGATTTCCAGCTACAGAGCAGCAACAAAATACCAAGGTAAGTGTTTATCTCATAGACGTCGCAAAGATGGCGTACTACGACCGAGAAGACACGAGCAAGTCGGATCCTGGTCTTCAGCTGATGGCAACATGTATCGTTAGGGACTAAGTTTTATCTATGTCATTGATATATACATCTTCCTCATACAAACACCTGAAATAAAAAATACTCGTAGTTACTCTGCGGGAAACAAAACCTATCTCCAGGGGTGTTTTTAACGCTTTGCCACAATGTCATAGATCTTTTACACTTCAAATATCTTTGCATTGAGGAAACCCCCGACTAAACATAATATCGCCCCTAGTGGAGAAAAACGAAACTGCAATTTTAGACCTCTGGTGCCAAAGCTATTATAATAATTTGGTGATTTGGTTTAAAATATGTAAAGTACTATTTCAGGCACTAAATGTAAGGTGGGAATGCTTTCAAAAAAACAATCCAGTAACAGTTTTTTTTTCATCATCCAACTCCATACAAAGCTCACTAAACTAAAAAAAAAAAAAAACTAGGGCTAAATCAATACTTGTGCATAGTTCTTCAAGATAGCAGGTGCAGGTAGGTTGTTCCAAGCATCTTGGAGAACTTGCCACAGCTCTTCTGTGGATTTAGTCTGTCTCTGTGTATTCTGTCTCCTCATGTCATCCCAGGCTGACTATGATGTTGAGAGCAGGACTCTGTGGGCGCCAGACTTTGTTCTTCTTGTCTCTGAAGATAAGTCTTCATGACCCTGTCTGTATGTTTGAGGTCATTGTCATGCTGCAGAATGGATTTGGGTTTGACTTTTAAAACACTGTAAACAAAGCTGCTGTATAAATTTATACAGTCAGAAGGTCACGCTTAACATAAGAGCATTTCCTTTGAGCACATGAACATTGTGTTAATCCAAACTGTCAGTTAGAAAGGAATAAAGAGAGTAATAGTTTACAAATATTAAACAAAATACACAATTTGAAAGGCAAAAATAAAATGCCTAATTAAAGATGCATCTACAAAGGAAATATTCACATAAAAATACAACCCATGGGGTCAAACAAGAAGTGACTCTCCATGCCGGAAACATTAAAGCAAAATATTATAATTTGTTCCAAGCACTGTTTTACAGATCTACTATAAATCAAGCAATAACACACATAATGTAGTGCATTGAAATCTCTACTCTCAAACTGAGCTTCAAAGTTTTCCTGTGGTCGCCTCATAGCTGTGCTGCAGTCACACATGAAAACCGCAGTATTTAACTCACAGCTGTGAAGTGAAAGCAAATTACAGCAAACCAAAGACTGTGCAGCTGCATCGCGTCTTTATGGATCCAGTCTTCACACACTCGCACATACACATTGCTGTGTCTCTCACTGCTGTACTCAGCCTATGCCCTGGGGCGCTCTCCTCATGACCAATCAGAAAGATACAGGAAGCCGTGTCCAGCAACACTCCCCACAACTCACATAAACTGGACTGAGGGAGAAATCATCCTCGGACATATGAAAGGAGCAAAGGCTGAAAAAGGAAGAAGAAAAAAACCCAAAAAACCGTGGAATCCATCAGACTGAAGAATCTCATAAGAACGTGCCAGTGGTGAGTGACTGATCACTTCTTAGAATAATGTATTATACTGACATTTAATAGGTTTATTATATCATTTTATAAATATATATGTCTTCAGATGAAAAATTGACTTTATTTTTATATGGTATGCCAGCAAATGTATTATCATATGTGTGGCAAGATTTTATGATATAAACATTTCTATATATTTTTCATCACAGTTCTTCAAGACAATTCAAGTTATATATTCGCTGAGTGATATGTCCAAGTTATTTGGAGTTCTTTAGTATTCATGACTAATTCACGTTGCTAAATGTCACCATGTGACTGTAGGCAGCGGGAGGCAGATGTGTTAGAGGGATGCTGACAAGAAGGAGGTTTTGTGAGGTTTATTAAATATAATCTGCTTCACTTTCTTGCTGGATTCCTCATTTGACCATGAGGTCAAACAGATACAATACGTTTCTCCCTGTCACTGCTAACTGGTCAGGGGAGAGGAAGGAAAAGGTGTATATGCGTGTGTGTGTGTGTGTGTGTGTGTGTGTGTGTGTGTGTGTGTGTGTGTGTGTGTGTGTGTGTGTGTGTGTGTGTGTGTACCACCAGACAGTTGGCAAAGTGCACATTCCATGGGCGTAGATGTGTTGCAGGAAATCCCACTCCCATTCCCGGAGGATCTAAATACACACACACATAAATAAATACAGAGAGACAGAGACAGACAGAAACAGACACAAACAACACACAAAAACATTATTAGTTTACTTGTGTAATAAAATAGTGCATTCAGATTCATCACTAAAATTATTATACTCTTATAAATCTCTTGGTCCAATGATTTTCTATAGGACTTATGAGAAAGTTTGACTGAGGTTTACATGAATTTATGAACACAGATTGCAGGGCGTCTGAGTTCTCAATAGAGGGCGCCATTTATTTTCAAAATGCCAGACAGGCATGTGACGAGAAGCCTTTCGCAACGCAAAAGGACCTGGGACCTGTTTCACTCAACAGTTCAAGGTTTCAGCAAATTGAATTTCTTGACAGCTTCACAACTCTACGATACGCTCTGAACCCGAAAACACGGTCATCAGACAATTAATGAGCTTTCATTTCAGTCCCAGGGCCACAAAGCAATTACCCACTCTTGAAGTTTGCTCCTTTAGTGTGGCCGAAGATTTTTACATTTGAAACACAATCTGTCGAAAACAGTCACCTGTTCCTCAGTGATGTGCTGCTGTGCACACAAGACAATCATTTTGTCAGATACTATCAAAAGACTGTAGCAATGTGCTCTTTCTTATCAGCAAAACTATCGTGTTTACATTCCCCGAGGAGGTCATAAGAAGCAAAACTGGCTTCCTTCATTGTGAACATTCTTAATTTGGCAGCGTAGCGTCCCTGTGAGGCATTTGGAAGAAACAGAGTCACACAACTAATCGGCCGCACTTAAAACAGTATTTTCTGTTTGGTTTGATCGCTTTCTCACTTTTAATACTGGCTTATTGGGACAGCTCGGATTGGAGCATCCTCATGACTCCATGGAGGGCCAAACTTGGTAAGAAGTCATTGTTTGTTTGTTTTTTCAGAGAGCTGGCAGAAGATATGCTTCGCAGTAGCTTCAGAGTACAGGGAGTGCAGCATACTCAACACACACACCAACCGAGAACTGTAATGACTAAAACAGAGTTTAACACACAGGAGCGACACTTTGCCCCCTTACATTGCCCTCCTACATCTTTCCAGCCGGAAGAACAAGCAAACCAAAGCATGGAAAGCATAATAGAATAGAGGTTCTTGTCTGTGTGTGTCTTGTGGAAAGCCATGGTGAACTGACTCAGTCACTGAGGTCAGTACAGGAAGGGCAGCCCCACATTGGAACAATAGCAGGGATTTAAACAAGTCTTACATAACGTATCCCAGCCTGCAAGACACAGTTGACCATGAACCAGTTATGACTAGAGGTTCATGGGCAATCAGTTTAAAAAGAGGGTTCCCTTGTACTTGTTTGACAGATTTATATCTATTTGCTTTGCGTTTGAGAATTACTGTTTCTTTTGCAGGCTGTTAAAGAAACTAATTACCCCCCCTGTTTCTCCATGTTTTACACAGATACAAGTCAAACCAACGTCTCTATGGAGAACTTGGTCAAATCCATGTGTTCTCCACCAAGACGCTGCACACCAGAGCATGGAGAAGTAAGTCACCTGCTGCTATCCCACAGAGGAAATGAAGTCAGTAATGACATAGAAAAAGATGAGGTTATAGCAACACAGCGAGCTGCGTCCACAGCTGAGCATTACAATAGACCTGTTGCAACAATATACAGCAGTTCGTTTTGAGTTTTATGGATCCATAAATCAGTAATGGGTATGTAAAGGTTTAACACCTGTGCAAAGGTAAAACACCTGCGCTCGGACTGCGAACCGGAGGTGGACAAAACAGCTGATGAGAGTCATCAAGTGTTGTTCTCCGACCTAAACCGCTTTCTGCCCTTGAAGCAGTTTATCTGCACCTCCATGTGCCCACAGACCTGGTTGAGCCAGACAGCTGGACAACCTGATAAGTGTGTGTGTGTGTGTGTGTGTGTGTGTGAGAGAGAGAGAGAGAGAGAGAGAGAGAGAGAGAGAGAGAGTTCTGCTGCTCTGAACTAGTGCACTGAACAAACTAGACCATACAGTGCCTGGAACATTGGTACATGGAACATTTTTGCCTCCTTAAATACCCTTGACCCAGTCTCATGAGCAGGTAGTGAGCCCGCTGTGTGTGTTTGTGTGGTTTCAGTGAGATTGTCATCAGATTAAACCCAGCTATGGGGATGTGAGAGAAAAACAAACACAGTGATGAAGTGTTTTAAAAACGGGATTTTGCTCACCACAGTGTAGTTGAGTCAAGATTTTGTCAGCTTTATTCACTGCATCAGCGCCATCAGTCAAATCTATGATCCTGCTTAAATTGACAAATCGCATTTTACGGTTTGCTGACATTTAAGAAAAAGTGTAGTGTAAAAACTACACCTGCCCACACTCTCACACTCACACTCACACTCACACACACACACACACACACACACACACACACACACACACACACACACACGGAGTTCATGTGTGTCGAGCTTAATAGCTCAAACGCCATTAATTAGATGGTAAAAATGCCAGAGGAAGCCGTCTCTCAGATGACTCCATGTGGTTCCTTGCCAAAGCCAAAGAGCGCGCGCGCGCACGCACGCACACACACACACACACACACACACACACACACACAGACACACGCAACTTAGCAACAAAGTGCGCCTGTGCTGAGCATTATCACACAGCCCGTCCTCACTGAGGCACACGCGTCCAGGCAGGTCTGGGTTTGGATGCAGGAGGAACTGGATGTTTTGTTGTTTTTTTTTTTTTTCTTGTTTGGGTGGAGGGGGGGTTCAGACAAAATGCTGAGTCTTGAACCGAGACTGCTGCGGTGTCGCGTCGTCGTTTTCCATTAAC